AAGAATACCTGTGTAATATAGTAGCTTAATGCTGCTGTGTATGTGTAATATAGTAGCATATAGAGAGTGTAGAAACCGGAGACCATATTGTGTTAACAGGGTATTCTATTTCAGTCTCCAGACGGTGATAACGCATCATAACACATGGACTGTGTGATCGTTTATCTTATTCCGTAAAAACTTTATAAAAACATACTTATAAAAACAAGTGGTTAAATATAAAAAATATACGACTGATTTCAATATGAATAAAATCAGAACATCATCAATGTATTCGAAGTCAATCAAATACTCATTATCAAGGATAACTCAAAAACTACTGGTAATATCTTGATTCAATTTATATTGGACCACATGAGAAGTACCATATACAAACACAGCTAAAACTTTTCTCTGACTACTTAACGGATCGATATCAGAGGGTAAAGATTGGAGATTGCTACAGTGATGATACAGTGATACCTTCCCATATCATATGGTGTGCCACAGGGTAGTATGCTTGGACCCACGCTATTTCTTACATATATTAATATACTATGTAATCTAAAAATTCACAATGGGAGGATCACTGCCTTTGCGGATGACACTTTTTTTCCAAGCAGATACATTGTCTGAAGTATTTAACTTCGCACAAAATGGGTTTGATTTAATAACTAAATGGCTGAAAGAATCTAAACTTATATTAAATATCGATAAAACAAAATACATAGCATTTACTACCCAAAACATCAATGTATCCGAGTTAGAATACTTCCAGATTACAGCTCACTGCTGCTCCCAAATTGAAAGCCCTTGCTCCTGTCCTACCCTGTCTAGAACGAATTGCATAAAATATCTTGTCGTAATGCTTGATAACAACCTAAGCTTTCACCTTCATATTGGCCTCTTAAGTACAAGGATACGTTAATTTATATTTTTAAAAATCCACGTCGTGTTGCAGATTTTAGTGTTAGAAAAATGGAATATTTTGCACTATGCCAATCATTGTTGACATATTACATTACCATATGGGGAGGAGCACATAAAACGACCATACAATTAGAAAGGGCTCAGATGGCACTTTTAAAAGTTTGCAATTCTCTTCCATTCCGTTGTTCTACAACTTACTTTTATCAACAGTGTAATGTCTTATCTGTTCGTAAATTGTTTATATTTCACACTACGCTGCTACAACATTCTCTTATACAGTATGAGTGCTCCTATAATAATGACAAAAACATGAAATATGTAGTTTGTCCAAGTAAGCTTCTAAAGACACATTTTCGCATAAACATTTCTGCTTCCTGAGAGGTTACCTTTATAATAATTTAAATAAACTTTTATCAATTTACTCTCTACCAAAACATGCATGTAAAAAAAAATTACAGAAGTGGTTGTTAAATATCGATTATATGGCTGCTGAATATTTACTGATAGTATTATCCTAAAAACACATAGCCTAACACACACACACACACACCGCGCGCCACACACACACACACACACACACACACACACACACACACACACACACACACACGCGCACACACACACGGACGTCATCACACATATAGAAATAATTTAAATAAACATAATAGAATCGTTCCTTTTTGAATTTTCTTATTCTTGTATTTCTCTTATAGTATATTTAAAAATGTAATAGGTGTTATCCGTTAGAGTGAGGGCCTGGTGATCTATAACACAGAGATTACTCTAGTATGGACACCAGTCTCTCACAAAGGTCAAATATCTACAACCGTATTATTTTAAAATAATGTGAAATTATATACCTCTGTAAAGAGAAAAATAAAATGATTTATTATTTATTATTATTTATCTATTTTTTTATAAAATTTAAGTGACAAACTAAATTAACCACCTACGCAGTAGCGGTTGGCCGCCTAGGCGGTTCGTTTGAGTGGCCAGCCGCATGACGCGGTTGGAATAGCGGCTGACCGCTATGGCAGCCAACTGCGTTGAAACCGCGACGAAACCAACGTAAACAGTTATACCGCTCAAAAGGCTTATTGGACCATAAACAAAATGGACGCCGTCGAGGTAGCTTGTGTTATCAATCTTTAGTCCCAAAAACAATGAAAGAAACAAAGTAAAAAAGATACTGGATTCATCATTTACATTGTTTTCGTTTTAAATCTCTATTCGAATATGATGCTACTTCAAAATTCTAAAGCTATATTCTAGCTTCTCGTTGTTGAATTTCAACAATGAATTTCTCTGTGTTCAAGTTCATGGCTGCGCACATTGATGTATATATTACACTAGATCAGTAATACCCGCGCCAAAGCGTTACCACTGCACATATGGCCACAACCATATGCCTAGCTAACGTCAGTTCTGTCTTCAGTGTGACGACAACAGATTTGAACCGGACGATCCGCGACAAAAAAAGGGTAAATGCGTAGTAAAAAAATGCGTTTCAAGGTCACAAAAAGATAATATATCAAGCGGAATCACTTTCTACGCTAAGTATTAGTTTATTTTATCATATAAACGTAAAAACCGCACAAAAATAAAATAAAATATCGAATATTGCTATTTAGGTTAAATTTTGCAACTTTTCCGCCTTTATAATTTTCCCACATTAATGGAAGACTATATAATTTATGAAATAAGTTAATTTATTAGCACTAATTTTAAATAATAATAATTATTTTTATTATTTAATTATTAATATTTTTATTATTATTATTATAATTTTAAATAAAAATTATAATAATTATCTCATATAGTAAATATAATAAATATCTCATATAGTACAAATAAAACTAAGGCAACTTGGACATTAATTAAACGACAAACCCAAATCACAAATGTAATTCAGCCTACAATAGACTACATAGTGCAAAACGACAATGTTATAAAGTCACCTACAAAACTAGCAAGTACTTTCAACCATCACTATATTAATCAAAACTCTAGCACATTAAAATCAAATAATCATAAGCCACAACACAGTTCTAACTTGAAAAGTATGTTCCTTTATCCAGTAGATAAGTGTGAAATAATAGACATAGTTAAAAAATTAAAAAACAAACCCAGCTATGGATATGATAATATACCCATTAGAGTAATCAAAGAAAGCATATCCTTTATTGCTGACCCGCTTGTACATATCATAAACATAATGTTGGAAACAGGAGAATTTCCTAATTCTTTGAAAAAAGCTCTCATAAAGCCATTATATAAAAAAAGGATCACGGCACGACATAAATAACTATAGACCAATTGCACTGTTACCAAGTTTTCTAAAATATTTGAAAAAGTAATATATATCAGAATCACAAAGTTTTTAGATATTAATAATATTCTAAATAAAAACCAATACGGATTTCAAAAAAATAAAACTACATTTCTGGCAATATATAAACTATTTAATAGCATTTGGCATAAAATCAATGATAAAAAACAATGTTCTTCTCTCTTTATTGATAAATTGTGTAAAATATGATATTTTGCTTAATAAATTAGAAGGCATAGGAATAAGGGGACTATCACTTAAATTAATAGAAAATTATTTAAATAATAGAATGCAAGCAACTGTTTTTGAGATATATAATGTATCTACAAAAATGGTTGAGGTAGTTAAATCTGAATTTGAAAATGTAATACTGGGTGTACCACAAGGCAGTTTATTGGGGCCTCCTTTATTTTTATTATATATTAATGATCTCCCAAACATAGTTACACACCTATACGTAATGTATGCCGATGATGCAACTATATTTATTTCTAATGATGACTTAAATGAATCTGATTATGAAAATGAAATAAACAAAACATTAAAAACAGTTACTGATTGGCTGCAGTCAATAAACTTAAAAGTAAACCTGTCAAAAACCAAACTCGTACAATTTAGAAATTACAAAAGTGTACCCGCCAAATTAAATATAACCGTGAACGATATAGCGGTCGAAGAAGTAATGAACATAAATTTTCTAGGAGTCGAAATAGATCAACATCTAAACTGGAAGGCACATATTGCAAAAATAAACAAAAAGATATTCAGTGCATGTTACGCATTGTCCATCCTGGCTCTCTGCCAGTCCATCCTGGCAGAGACTACAAATATAAGTGTTACTAGAAATGCCTATTTTGGAAGCGTTTATCCACTCCTAACTTACGGTATCATATACTGGGGAAACTCTACAGATATACAATCCACATTCGTTCTCCAGAAAAAATATCTTAGAACAATATATAACATGCATAGTACTGAATCATTAAGAGATGTCTTCGGAACAAAGGGTTTCCTAACACTGACTGGAATCTTTATCCTAGAGTTATGTTTATTTGTTAAAAACAATATGCAATATTTTAATTTGAAATATGATTCAAAGAAAAACATTCGCAATCAATATAAATATGATATAAGCTTACCTATTATTAAAAATATGATTTACTATAAAAGTACCTACATTACTGCTATTCGTGTATACAATCAGTTACCACCAGCTATTAAACAATTAAATGGAAATATGTTTAAAAAAAATTAAAGAAATTGTTAATTGAAAATGTTTTTTTACAATCTCAATGAGTATTTTAATAAAATAAATGTTGGTATGTAGTAAATTTAAAAATTATTTTTTAATTGTTGCATACCCGAAATGGGTAAACTGTTGAGCCTAAAACTATATGTTTTCGTACTAAGATCTTATTGTACACAGTTATGCAATAAATGTATCTTTATCTTTATCTTTATCTTTAAAAACTACGTTATAACCTTCATAAAAATAATGAATTTTATTTTTATTTTTATTTATTCATGATTGATCTATTAATTATATTTTATTACCTACCTAATTTATATTCATAATTTTGCAGGGTATCTAAAGATGCCACACGCCGTAAGAAGTGGTTGGAAATAATACGATTGCTGAGAAATGAGACTGACTAGGTGCCTTCTAAATCTACTCTCATTTGTTCAGCACTTCAGGGATCAAGACAAACTAGCACCAAAAAGTAATTACGGCCGTGTTTATTTGTCTAACGAAGCAAATCCAATGCTTTTTGTAAGTAAAGATTTAATAGGCTCGTTAATTAATATTGTGACAACATAGGTAAGATCTAAAAACACCTTTTCATAAAACTCCCATAGCAAAATGTATTGCTAACTAATTATGTACTATTATTATTATAAACTCATTTATTTCGGATTAAATTATACTGTGATGAATATTTATTATATCTCATTATTAGGTTTCATAGTGCTGTTTTGACTACAATAATTAGTGGCCATTTTCAGGATGAACCACATTTTGAAAATCCGGTGGAACTTTTAGTAGAAGAAAATATGGACGATGATGTTATGGAAACCGATGAAGAGAAAGATGAAATAACTGAAACACCGCGAAAGTATAAAATGAGAAAAACAATTAAACGTTTGAAAATTTTATCTACACGAAGACTAAAAATAATAAAAAATATGTCACAGAAAATTAAAAGACTAAAAACAAAAACTAAAAAAATTAAAAGACAGTTATCGAAGAAATAAAAAACGTATGTTGAGCGAAGAAGAAGAGATGCATCTAAATTTGAACGGAGAAACAGAGCAATTGATGGAAGAATTTAAAAAATCCTTTTAAACAGGAGAGGGCTTTTTAATAAATTTCCTTATGTGTTAAAGAAATTTGCATTAATAATAAAATTTTACTCCCCTGCTACCTATAAATATGTTCGATCCTCATTTAACAAAGCATTGCCGAATCCAAGAACACTAGTTAATTGGTGTAGCAAAATTAACGGGGATTCTGGATTTATGTCGGAGGCTTTTAATGTTCTTAAGGTCAAAAGTGATAATTCTAAGTCCAAGATTATTTGTAATTTAATGCGTTGATTATGGATTAGATGACACAAACCATACACAAAATCTATCTGTTTTAATCAAACACGGAAAATACCTATTATATATTTTTTTACTTATGGGTTATCTTCAGCAAAACTTGCCAATATAATAAATTTGGCACTGACAAAATGCGCACAAATTAACGTCAAAGTAGCGTCAGTAACATGTAACAGCAGTCTGACTAACATTGCTGCAATGCGAGTTTTAGGATGTAACCTAAATGACCCAAATGACTTGAAAACTACTTTTAAACATTATACAACAGGAAAAGATGTGACGCTATTGTTAGACGCTTGTCATATGCTCAAACTAGTGAGAAACAGTTTTCAATCACAGAAAATATTTTTAAACAAAAATAATAACAAGATAGAATGGAAGTATTTGAAACGTTTATAAGAAATTCAAGAAATCTAAAGGGCTTAGAACAGGCAATAAATTAACCAACGGCCATATTAATTTTCGAAATCAAATCATGAAAGTCAAGCTAGCATCACTGTTGCTAAGTAATAGTGTGACTCAGTCACTTAATTTGGCCAAGGACTTGTCTTCTAAATTTTCGGAATGTGAACCCACTGCGGAGTTTATTAAAATACACAATGAAATTTTTGATGTATTAAATTCCAAGGGAGACCCCAAAGCTTATGGATTTAAGAAAAGTCTAAAACTAACAACAGAACCAACCCCCCCCCTAAAGCCCCCCCAACCACAAACACCCCCACACCCCCCCCCCCCCCCCCCCCGTGGGCCAGCATTTCCCCCCCCCCCCCCCTAAAAAGATATATACACATTAATTGATAAATATAAAGAGTACGTTACCAACCTAAGTGTAAAAGTGAAAACAAAAAAAACAGTCAAACGAAGGGGTCAGATACACAACATAATTACAAAAAAAATATGAAGAAAGTGTTAAATTGCAAATTTAAAACGGGATTTTTGGGTTTTCTTATTTGTCTTGAAAGCTTAAAAGTATTGTATGCTAGGTTAATTAAGACTAACGTAATGGAATATATCGCAACGTATAGACTTTCACAAGACCATCTGGAATTATTTTTTGGTTGTATCCAGGAAAAATGTGGGTATAATAACAATCCTAATGTTGTGCAGTTTAAATCAGCCTACAAAAAGTTATTAAACCACCTTGAATTAAAAAACAGTTTTAGAGGTAACTGTTATAAATTAATATAGATACGAGTATCTTGTTTTCCACAACATCTACAATTGATAAAAACCATATAGAAGAAATCAATAAGTCTTCCTTTGATCATCGCCATGATGATATTGACGAGGAAAACCACAAACTATAAAGAATAATATAAATGAAACAGATTTAGAAAAACAATGGAACGTGCTACAAAAGAATGACAACCTCTTCACAAACGTAACAAAACAATTCGTTGGATATATTTCCGGCTAAGTTGGTCGAGATCTGAAATATGAAACATGTGTAATAGTGGGGATAAGCGATCCACTATTAACAGACTCCGAGTGGTCTATATTTGCGGCTGTTTCTTGTTTCTTTATTAGAACGTTAAATATATACGTCAAATTATCTCGCATCAATATGCAGCCCGCAGTATCTCAATAGCCGGGGATAGTTAGGAAATAAATGTTTTCTTCGCCTTCTGTGTTATGGTAGCAGCAGGGTATATATTATTTATTGCCGATTAGCCTGGCTGCTACACATGCATTAAAGCTTTACTAGCTACGGAACTGGAATGGTTTCATAAATTAATTATATAAAAGATAATGGAGGATTATGTTACCCATCCAAACATGTCTTTGAAATATGCATGAGTTGTGAAATCATTATAAGACATGCCATGAAACTTTCCGACAATAATTTTTTGTCTCCTAAATTTGGTCTCATGACATTAGCTACAAAAATATTAAAAGAACTTCAAGGAAATAAATTATTAAGAGAATTTGCAATACACCCGGGGGATAATTTATCTTCAATACAAGTGAATCATTCCCTTTTATTGATTAATGCTATTATTTATAAGTACTTAAAATAAGATTGTACCACGAAAGCAATTAAGTAGCAAAGGCAACACCCCCAGAAATGGGGCCGAAGAGAAAATATACACTCAAAAACACAAAAAGGAATCTAAACGGCAATTATATTACAAACTGATGCTTCATAGCGGAGTTTGAGAGCATGGACATTTTTTCATGCTAATACTCCTAGGTCGCCTCACTTATGCATATTTCACACAAAGATCTTCTAGATCTTCTTTTCTTTACTTATTTTATATTTTTATTTGATTTATTAGTACAATAAAAATTATTTAAAAAATGTCTTTTATTTCATCAGTAATGCTTACTTCTTTCTATTTTTATTATTATTTTATTCATCTGATAAGAAAATATACATATTTAAAATAAAAACAATTAATTGCACCTATAAAAAACTCATTTTTATGGCTTGTTTTGGGTAAAATTTCATATCGTAGGCAACACCAACCCGCCATTGCATGTTCATGTTACTGTCTATATCTAATATTAGCGACGGTATTGTTTTCGCAGCAAGTGTAAGTGAGATGGATATATGTTCATTTTAAATTGTTATTAGTTTCAAAGCTACCTCGTCGCGTTTGGATAGTGGTTACACTTTTTTCGACGCGCATAATGTGGTTTACTCCTCTAGTGTTGTATAACTCAATGGCTGCGCAACTCAAACTCAAAACGCGTATATAAACAAAATGGCAGCCAGCCGCTTTTCACATCAAACATCTAAACCGTCAAATAACATATAAATTTAAATTGTCATTTAACAAGATAATTATGAAAATGAAAAATTGTTGATTAATAATTATTCATAAAAATTTATTTCATATAAAAAGGTCGGAATAAAGACGGCGGCTGGGACATATTATGTTCTTTATTTTTTAAAATTTTGCCCATTTGGACAACTTTTCACTTAATAAATTTTCCCATTTTTTAAGCTTTCAAACTGTAAAGACAATAAAATCACGAAAAAGTGTAATCAAAAGCTTACATAAAATGAAATCACTCTTCCAGTTATCTTAGCACTTTCATAAGTTACATTTACTAAATTACGTTGAAGAGTACAATCTGACACTTTTCCTGGCGTATGTGGACTACGAGAAAGCCTTTAATTCCGTCAAAATTTGGGCGGTGCTACAGTCCCTGCCAAGGTGACAAGGTGCCAAGTTGACTGTCGGTATATCGAAGTGCTGAAGTGTTTGTACAGTAGGGCTACGATGGCTATCCGAGTACAGAACCAGAGTTCGAAACCTATCCAACTGCAGAGAGGTATAAGACAGGGTGACGTTATATCCCCGAAACTCTTCACCGCTGCGTTGGAAGACGTTTTCAAGCTACTGGACTGGAAAGGATACGGTATTAACATCAATGGCGAGTACATCAATCACCTTCGATTTGCCGACGATATAGTCCTTATGGCAGAATCGCTGGAGAACCTTAGCACATGCTCAATGACCTCAATGGTGTCTCCCAACGGATAGGTCTTAAGATGAACATGGACAAAACAAAGATCATGTTTAATGTCCATGTCACACCTATGCCGGTAGTTGGTGGGAGCACTATGCTCGAAGTTGTTGACGAGTACGTTTACCTGGGACAAATAGTCCGACTAGGTAAGTCCAACTTCGACCGAGAGGTCAATCGACGGATTCAACTTGGCTGGGCAGCGTTCGGGAAATTACGACATATCTTCTCGTCAGGTATACCTCAATCTCTGAAAACTAAAGTGTACAACCAGTGCGTGTTGCCAGTGATGACTTACGGATCAGAGACGTGGTCCTTCACTGCTGGCTGTATGAGGACGCTCAAGGTCGCTCAGCGAGCTGTGAAGAGGGTTATGCTCGAAGTTTCTGAGGATATCCGCAGTAAAACCAGAGTAACCGACATAGCCCAACGGATTAGTTAGCTGAAGTGGCAATGGGCTGGCCATATAGCTCGAAGAACCGATAACCGATGGGGAAGAAAGGTTCTCGAGTGGCAGCCTCGTACCGGTAGGCGTAGTGTAGGGCGACCCCCCACTAGATGGAGTGACGACCTGGTAAGACATGCAGGAAGGCGATGTATGCAGGTGGCTCAGGACCGTGCTTTGTGGCGTTGCTTGGGGGAGGCCTATGTTCAGTGCAGTGGACTTGTGAAGGGCTGTAATGATGATGAATGATGACGTATATAGTTGACGTTTTATAAACTGCAATATACTCAACTACACTAGTCACGAAAGATATTAAATTTTCAACTAGGCACACTTCACTCCGTTACAACTGATAAATTCACATTATTACCTCTAGTTACGCTAGCACTATTTTGGCTGGTTCTTGAACTACAATTTGCTGCTTACAACTAAACACTTTTTCGACTTGTCCCTTACATAAGATGGTCATCCTTACCTTTACCTATTTCCACAGCGACAACGATGCTATTCTAAGATAGTTTGTACTCAACACAATGATGATATTTACTTTGTTAGGTCGCGCGTCAACACCACATTAAAAACCTGTTTCCAGCTTTTCTTTTTTTTAATTTTCACAATTGTTGTGAATTAAAAATTTCTGGACCGATGTTAATCGATTTAGACACAAAAAATTTAACGTTGTGAAAATCATCTGCCATTCTCCTGGTGCTGCAGTTGTTCATAGCCGCACTCTAGTTTGTCCCCTTTTATATAAAAATAGTCAACTCTGACCATGGGCCTTTCTATCATAAGAACGATTTGCTTTAATGGTCACGGAGTTGGAG